GTTTCTGAGGCTCTTCATTTTTTTGTGTGTGGGTTCAAAATTCTTTCTGGTATATACCTTTGATTGAAGATTGCTTTAATATTCCTTGTAGCATGGGTCTGCTGGCAATTAATTCTCTTGGCTTCCTTTTTTCTGAAAACATTCTTATTTCAACATCATATTCAAAAGGTATTTTTGCTGGGTATAGAATTCCACGTTGACAGGAGTATGCTCCCACCCCCACCCCCAATGCTCTAAAAATGTTGCCCATTGTCTTCCAGCTTGCCTAGTCTCTGATAAGAAGTCTGCAACAGCTCATATTGTTCCTCTGTATGTGAATTTTTTTCTCTGACTTCAAGATTTCCCCCCTCCTTTGGCTTTCAGCAGTTTGACTTTGATATGTCTATGTGGTTGATGCTGTTGCTTTTTTTTTTTTTTTTGGTCCTGTTTAGGTGTTCTCTGAGTTTATAGATTTGTGATTTTTTTTGGTCTTTCCTTATTTTTTGAAAAGTGTCAGCCATTATTTCTTCAAATATTTCCTCTGCTTCATTCTGTGCCCTCTTTCTGGCACTCAAATTAAGAATTAGAGTTGATATAATTTATTCTTTTGTCCTTTTACACAGCTCTTGTATGTTCTGTTATGGTTCCCTCCTTTTTTTCCCCTTGTGCTTCAGTTTGGATAATTTCTACTGACCTATCTTCAATTTTACTAACTCTTTTCTCAGTTGTCATGTCTGCTGATGACCCCATTGAAGGAAATCTAATATCATGTGGGGCTTTTTTGTTGTTGTTCTAGCAATTATCTTTGACTTTCTTATAATTTACTCCTCTCTGTAGAAATTATCCATCTGTACATGTATATTGTTCACCTTTTCCACGAGATCTTTTATCATACCAACCATATTAAAGTTCTTATCTGATAGTTCAGCTTCTAAGTAATCTCTGAGTCTGATTCTATTTATTGTTTTGCTTCTTGACAGAAAGTTGGTGGCTTCTTGTTGCTTTTGAACAAAAGGTTTATAATTTTTTTATTGAATGCTGAACATTCCTGTGTAGGACAGAAGAGATTAAGGTAAATAGTATTTACATCTGGAAATGGGTAAGCCTCTTCTGTCAGGCTGCTAGTATGGGATCTGGGCCAATCTTGTCAGGAATTGAGCTGGGTTTGGGATCTGTTATTGCTATGGTTATCTTCAATGCACCACAGGTCTCAAATACCTCTACCCATAGGCTGCCATTGCCTTATGCTCAGCTTGGGACTGGGTACTAGAGGATATATTCCTCAGTGCCCCGCCCTCCACTTTCAGCTATCCTTTGCCTTTTTGTGCTGTATCAGGGATCTCTCCCTACCTTCTCTCAAAAGTAAATTGCTACTGCTTGTTATTCTACTCCAGGGCTGTGTTGGAGGCTTGGGGAGGGGTTCTCTGTGTCCTGATTCAGCTTCAGTTTAAACAGGTCCTGTACCCTCAGCCCCAGCATTCCTGGCCCTCCTCCCTGTGGCAGCCAAACTCAGCTTATATCTGTGGGGATGTCAGGTGAGATTATCCTGTCCCTCTGCCAGTTGTAGGAGACCTCTGGTGTTATGGAGGATCCTAGGCCAGGATAGTTTCCTGGTGCCCTTCCTGTACTTCCCCCAGCCATGGTGTATCTTTGCCTGTGCCCTAGGGTAAGAGACATTTTCTGTCCTTCTCTCAGCAGTTTAAAGTGTTTGCTTCCCAGGGGAGAAGACAAGTGAGACCTCTGAGACAGTGGGAAGGGTTTTGGCCTGTTCCTACCTGGGTGACACCACTGATCAGCTCCTTGGAGCCTGAGGGCAAGAGATTTGCTGCTCTTCCTCCAGGAACCTGCAGCTTTTGCTTCTCACCCAAGAGGACTCTGGAAGTGACTGGTATTTTGTGCCTGCCCCCAGTCCTCACAAGTCCATGGTGAAGCCTTGTGGGAAAGAGTGGCAAGTCATGGGCACTGCCAGTGTGTCTGGGACCCCAGTAATTATAGAGTCACACTCCAGCCCACACTTGGTCTTTGACAATTTAGAACGTAGCTGATTTCCTCTTTCCTTTGGGTGGATATCTGAGTCTCCTCTGCCCCACTTTGCCCAGATGGGACAATCCCTGCTGCTCCTCCTTGAAATCCAGGTTATTTTGTTACCTTTCAGCCTCAGCTCCCTGATGGACTCCAGAAATGCATGATTTTGTAGTTTCTTCTGCATTTTTATTGTTCAGATGGGAGCAATGCCACTTTGTACATCCTAAGTGGAGGCAGCAGCAATTCACCCTCTTGAAACTATGTTTTAATTTTCTCAGATTAGCAGGGAAATGATACAGTCGACTTGGGCACTCTCATGGGACACAGAGGTCTCTGAACTCCCTGGGTCACAGGCCTCATGGCCTATCTGCCCCACCAGAGTCAGCTGTGTTCAGGGAAACCACGTGACTTCTAGCATAGGCTGGTGCCCACACTGACCACGTGACTCCTTCCCACCCCCTGGCTTCATGACATGTGCTCAAACTCATGCCTCTACAGTTACATGTGATCTTGAGGCCACTTTCTTAGGGGTACTCTAGGTACCCCAGAATCAAGACTGATGACCCCGAACTGCTGTGCTATGCTATTTCTGGATGCACAAGTTTAGTGAGATTTAAATTATAAACACTGATGGCACACCTGCCACGGCATGCCCAGCACCGCACTGGCATCATAGAGACAGAGGTAAAGGGGATTTGGCATCTGCCTCACAGGAGCTCAAGCTGCTCCCATGGGGCTGGAGCTCAGTCGACGCTAAATAGGCAGGCAGGCCTGCACTGGCTTCATGGCTCTCAGATGCCCACTGTTGCCTTGACCCCCAGCGAGTGGGTCTTGGACCTATACAAGGAGGTGTCCGAGCTGCAACTGGATCTGGCCATCAAGGGGGATGGTGAGTGGTGAGACATGAGGACCCTACCATCAGCCTGTGGCACTCACACCCCAGCTCTCCCACCCAGCACCTCTTGTGCCTTCCTAAACCATTGTTTCTCCTTCTATAAAATAATGGGTAATGGTGGTAGCCGAGCGTGAATGAGATCATGCACAAAACCCACTGAGCCTGTGCCTGGCACGTATGAGCACCCAGTGGATGTCGGTGATGGAAGCAGTTGGTGACAATGATGAAGTTCCATCAAGACCCCAGTGAGCCGAGCTTGGTGGCTCAGCCTGTAATCCCACGCCTTTGGGAGGCTGAGGTGAGTGGATTGCCTGAGCCCACGGGTTCGAGACCCGCCTGGGCAGGCGAGACCTCATCTCTACAATAAATCAAAAAATCAGCTGGGCGTGGTAACGCGTGCCTGTAATTCCAGCTACTCGGAAGGCTGAGGATCGCCGGAGCCCAGCAGGCGAGGCTGCGGTGGCCGGGAGCGGCCACTGCACTCCAGTCTGGGCGACAGAGTGAGACTCCAACTCAAAAAAAAAAAAGACCATCCATCCCAGTGAGAACATCCATCCCTGAGAATAGCCTCTGAGCCCCACTCAGCCGCCACAAGGGCCTTCCCTCCTGAGTCATAAACTCGTCCATCAAGTTGGAGATCCAGGGAAGAATGTGGGGTTTGAGACAGATTGGGCTGATGTGGTCTGGGCTCTTCCTGTGAGCCAGTGCAACCTCTGGGCCTCAGTTTCTTCTGCTGTAAGAGGGCACTTGATTCCCATGTCCTGGGTTGGAAATGACATGGAAAAGCACCAACGCAGGATCCCCATGGGAAGAATTTCATTCCACTTCATTTCAAAGGGCATCCTGTGGTCTGCAAACCCACATCTGTGGAAAAAGTGATTCAGAAATGAGGAGACAGCATTTACTCTCTCCCCAGCAAGCTTTGCCTCCTTGGGCTCAGTGTGAGAGGAAATGGACCTGAGTACCCTGGGGACAAGGGGAACAGGGTCCTTGATATTCCTGAACAGGCTGAGGGTTGGAAAGAGCTCACTTGTTGTGGCTTCAAGGGTTAGAATTCCTTGGGCAGAAGTGATTCCATGATGGTATCTATCTAAGCCGTGCCCAGGGAGCACCCTGATGGCACACCCCAGTCACCTGGCTCAGCATGGCCACCTCCACTTCTTCCCTCCAGCCTGGTGGTGGCTGGTCCAGGCCTCATCTATGGTCAAAGGCACCTGAAGCCACAGCAGATATAGAGGGAAGTCCTGTGGTTAAGACAGAGCCACACACACAGTCACTCATCCATAGGGTTATGCACACAGAGAATAACAGTCACACATACATTATTCTCTCTCCACCCACCCACCCCCCAAGAAAGCAGAGCCTTCCCCCCCCCATTAGTTTCAGTGCCCCTCATGGCCACACTTGGATCAAAGACTCAACTGACCTCCTCTCAATACCTCCCGCAGAAGTCTTAAGGTTTTCCTAGACCAGCTTTGTCCCCCTGCAGGTTCTGCTGGAATCCTGGCCCAGCCTGGTTCTCCCACTGGCAGCCTGGCCAGGATCTGGTCACAGGAACAGCGGCTAGGTTGTCTGGCACCGTCACTGCAGTGTGTGAGTGAGCAGCTCAGCTGAGGTGGGCTGAGGACATCAGGGATCTGAATGGGTCCAGGAGGGCACAGCATAGAGCCAGTCCAGCCTCGTTTCCATCTCATGGCCCAGGTTCAATGGGCAGACAGCTTGGCTCCTGGCCCCCTTGTGGGGGTCCCACCATGCTGACTGATTGGTAGACTCCCAGAGACCTTTTGCCTGTGGCCTCTCACCAGCTCCCAGGACTGAGACACCCTAGCCTGCCACCTCACCCAATGAGTGCTGAGGGAGGTCACTGTTGGCAGTCCAGCTTGGCTTGTTCTCCTCATGGTGCAGGCAGAGCTGCAAGAGGTTCCACAGTCATGCCAGTGTTCCTTACACCGTAACCATCCACTAGGCAGGACATCTGGGAGTCCCCTGGAGCTGTCCAAAACCCTGACCTCCTTGGGCCAGGGCTGCTGCTTTGGTGCCTGGGATGGAGGTGGAGAGCCACTGGCTTGGGTTCTCTGACGACCTCCTCTTCCACCCGCAGGAGCTATGGGGAGCTCACAGACTGCACCAGGCACGTGGCAGAAAAGCTGGACTGCTTCTGGCCCAACGCAGAGGTAGACAAGTTCTTCCTGGCCGTCCACCAACACTACTTCAGGACCTGCCCTGTATCTGGCAGAGCCTTGCGGGACCCATCCAGCAGCGTCCTCTTCCCCTTCATCGTGATCCCTATCCTGGTTACCCTGCTCATGACGGTGCTGGCGGTCTGGAGAAGCAAGCACACAGAGGGCATCGTGTAGGCAGCGGCCTGGGGCTGCCCACCGGGCGCATCAAGTCAGCAGGGCAAGGCCAGGAGGGTCGGGGTGGGAGCAGCATGGGCCTGACCCAGTGAGAGCTTGCGGGGTCCAACAGCAAAGCAGGCCCAGAGTCCCCCTCGTCTTCTAGCCAAGAAAAGCTAATAGAATTTCAGAGTAGTTGTGACTCCGGCATTAACTTGGAAGTCCCCCTTCCCCTCACCCACTAGAGGCCACCCCAGGAATGGGGCGGGGACATGACCCTGACTTACTCTGGAAGAGTCCCCAACCCTGGGCCCCCCTGCATGGCTCTTCCCAGACTGGTGACCCCATAGATGCATTTGTGGATGAGTAGTTTGTGATTAAAAGAATGTTCTTGAACTTGGAAAAATGTCCTTATTTCTGGGTTTCTGTCATTGGGAGGAGAGTGGGAGAAACCCCCCTACTGCCCCGCCACAACCCAGTCCAGACCCATGGGCACTCGCAGACTGACCAGACCCTCAGCTGGTCCTCAGGAGAAGAGACAGGTCCTGGGGGCAGGCTGGGGCTGCAGGGGTCTAAGGGGAGGGATCTATACTCAGGATGCCCACCTGAGGATGCCTTGGGCCCTCTGGCGGCTGCATTCTTCCCCTCTGTCCCCAAGGGCTGTACCGGCCTTGGTCCTCTGCTTCTCATCTCCCCCCCCCCAGGCTGCTGCTGCTACCCGCCCCATCCATGCTTCTTCCCAAGCCTCCACTTGTCGCTGGGCTTCTGAAAGGTTCTGAATTTCCAAAGGGGAGCCCTCCCCACAACCCTTCCTTATGTCTCCTGAGTATAGATTCCTCCCCTTAGGCCCCTGCAGCCCCAGCCTGCCGCCAGGACCTGTCTCTACTCCTGAGGACCAGCTGAGGATCTGGTCAGTCCGCTGCTAGACCCTTCTGCTTTTTTTGACTTGACCACCCATGGCTGCAGAAGCAAAGGGTCCTCACGGGCCGGGGACTTCTAGCTATTTTGAAAGAATCCTAAGTACAGCAATAAGAATAGCAACAGCATTTGCCATGAGCCAAGCACTGCACCACGAACTTGTGTTCATGACCCTTTCAGAGCAGCCCCCTGGGGGAGGTTCTGTCATTGTCCCCATTTTGCGGAAGAAAAAAAGAGTTCAAGTCACTTGCCTGGGCGACCTCAGGAATCCTTTTGTCAAATAAAACTCCCTGAGAAACTCCAATACACAGGACAGATAAAGGCCAAGGGGGCTCTGGGATGCTGCCTCCTTTTCTCTCCTCCACCACCCCCATCCCCCCCTCAGGTTCTTCTCCCACCCATCGCACCAGCCAAACTTGGGGGCCAGGCCTTGCCCACATATCCACAAGCTGACCTTTTCTGAGAGGTCCTGCTGAGGTAAGGAGACAAGAGAAGTGTGTGCATGGGTGGGGGAGGGGAAGCTTCTGCAGGGCAGCCTGTAAGCCAGACCAACCTGGGCAGGGGCTACTGTGCTGGGACCTGAGCCAGGGATTAGCAGGGAAAGTGGCCCTTGAGCAGCCTTCTGTCTGAGCCATGGCCCGGTGAGCTGGAAAGGCCTGGGCACCTGGGATTGAGTCCTTTTCCAGGGGACTTGGGAAAAGGAGGAGTCATTGAAAATTGCCACCAAAACAGCACCTATGGAGGCCCGCAGGCCCATGAGACTGGTATCTTCAGCAAATGCATATGAACTAATTAGAGGAGACATTACGAGTGAGGTCAGGCTAGAGCTGTCCTCTTACCTGTGGGCACCTATCATATCGCTGTCAGTTGAAAGTGTTCATTAAGACACTGGCGATCAGGCCACTTTGGCTCATGCCTGCAATCCCAGCACTTTGGGAGGTGGAGGTGAGAGGACTGCCTAAGCCCAGGGGTTAGAGACCAGCTTGGGCAACTTGGCACGGCCTTGTCTCTACAATAAATCAAAAAATTAGCTGGGCATGGTGGTTTGCATTTGTGGTTCCAGCTACCTGGAAGACGGAGATGGAAGGATCATCTAAGCCCAGCAGGTCAAGGCTGTGGTAGCCATGGGTGTGCCACTGAACTCCAGCCTGGGTGACAAAGTAAGACTTTGACTCAAAAAAAAAAAAAGACACTGTCTAGCCCACAACACCTGCTCTTTGTCTGGAAATCTCACCCCTCCCTGAGATCCAGAGAGCCCTGGGTCTTCAGCTACTCCTTCCTCCATCTGCCTCCTTTCCTAGGGTCTCAGTCACATGTACTGTTGTGTTGTAAATTGGGCCATGAGATCAGGAAAGAAATAGGATGATTGTCTCAGTTCATCTCCCACTTCTCCCCAAGGAAGCTGAGAAGGCCTCAAGAGCCCTAGTGACTGGTCCAAGGTCACACTGCCAGTGGCAAAACCCCAGACCCTGACTCCCAGGGTAGCCCCATCTTCCCTGGGCCCCCATGTAGGGCTGCAGTGCCTCAGTGCCCCACCCAGGGCTCAAACAGTGTACAAGGAGTCCTTTCAGAATCAGGCCAGGTGCAGTGACTCTGTTAATTCCAGCACTTTGGGATGCTGAGACAGGAGGATCACTTGAGCCCAGGAGTTCAAGTCTATCCTGGGCCACATGATGAGACCTCGTCTCTCCAAGAAAAAAAATCAAAAAATTAGCTGGATGTAGTGGCATGTAGTCCCAACTACTCAGGAGGCAGAGGAGGGAGGATCACTTGAGCCCAGGAGGTAAAGGCTGCAGGGAGCCAGATTGTGCCACTGCACTCTGGCCTGGACAACAGAGTGAGACCTTGTCTCAAAAAAACAAAACAAAATTAAAAAATCCTTCCAGAATCTGTTTTAGGACTGTGGCATCTTCAAGGACAAGGTCTCTCACCTTCCTAAGTGTTTTTCTGTCCTGGTGTACGTGTGTGTGTGTGTGTGTGTGTGTGTGTGTGTGTGTGTGTGTGTGTGTGTGTGTGTGTGTGTGTGCATGTACGTATATACAAGTGTACACATGCATCCTTGCACGTAGGAAAAGTAACCCTCAAATAGGAGTAGTCCTTCTAACTTTATATTGCTTTATTGAGTGGTCACAACATGGGTTTGTAGGTTACAGGCTTGTCTGCTATGCTGCTGATGGGGGAGGGGGTTGGTTGTAACTGTGAAACTGAATCTCCTGCTGCATGTCATTCTAAGTGTCCACTCACATCTGCTGTTCCATTGATCTCAGATTAATAAGATTTTTTCATCTGGACACAGTGGCTCATGCCTCCAATCCCAGCACTTTGGGAGTCTGAGGCAGAGGGATCACTTGAACCCAGGAGTTCGAGGCCAGTGTGGGCAACACAGCAAGACCCTGTCTCTACTATGGAAATTAATAAAAAAGATTTTCCTTTTGATTAAGGAAAGTAACCTTTTCCGGGACACTTACTGTTTCTCACATCTCAGCACCTGCCGCCCCATGAGACCACTGTTCCTTTCATCACAAAGAAACAGACCAAGGAAAATTGGACACCAAATTTCAAAGGATGGTTTTAAGTTGAAGAATTTGTTTCCAGAGCACTCTAAAAGATTTCACCTAACTTCATAAAGTTCAGAGTGTCAGCTGTTCTAGAAAAATGACTGTACACCTATTTTAAAACTTGGAAAAGTGTAGTTCCTGTCATCAGAAATGTGATAAAACCCAACAGGAAAGACTGAGCTCAGCTTCAGGAAGTGAGGCCAAGTCTTTCTCACTGTCACCCTCCCTATACTCCCATCTCTCTGTGTCTCCATTTCCTCATCTATAAAATGGGGTGATAATATCTTCCGCAAAGGGTGTCCTATTAATGAGGTAAAATGGGTTAGTCTGGGTTTTCTAAGAAGTAGAAGCCCGCCTGGTGCAGGACAGTTATTAGGGAAGACTACCATGAGAGTCAAGGAGCCAGGGAGAAGGTTAAGGGAGACATTCTAGGCTACTACACAGTCTAAGAAGGTACACAAGCTATGGGGAGTCCTTGCACCAAAGCTAGCTGACAAAGGAGTCCTGGGGGAGAAGGCCCTGCCTTATTCCTATCCTGCCCCAGCCTCAAGGAACAGCCCATGTGAAGTGTAGCCTCACCATGTAGTCCTGGTAGAGTTCAGGGCCAGCAACTGGGGTCCGCAGTTGGCTCTGCTGCCTGTGGTGAACGTCAGGATATGGCCTTATTTAGAACTTGGGTCTTTGCAGGTCTGATTCATTAAGATAAAATAAGAACACACCAGATTAGGGCGGGCCTTCAATTCAGTATGACTGGTGTCCTTATGAGAAGAGGAGAAACCAAGACAGAGAGAAGGCAGCTGAGATTGAAATAATGCAGCAAGGAGTGCCCACAACTGCCAGAAGCCAGAAAAAGCAAGGACGTCTTCTCTCCTAGAGCCTTCAGAGGGAGCTTGGCATCCTCACACCCACCTCATGAAATCACAGCACATACCATGAGCTCAGTAGGTGCTATTATCATTATTAAAAGTGCTTTCCAGACAGTATAAACAGTGTACCATGCCACTATTTAAAAATTTTCCAAGTTAATGGAATACATCAAGGTATTGGTAATTTTTAAATATTTAGATTTGACTTTGAAGTGTGTGTTTGTAAGTACATGTGAGTATATGGGCACTTGATCTGGAAGTTTCCTTCAAGTGAAAACGTTCTGCCATGAAGATTTAGGAAGAGCAAGAGAGCTTTCAGGTTTCCCTTTGCCTCATCAGATCATGATGGTCAGCAGATGGGATCAGCACACAAGGCCAGTCATGGCTGGGACAGAGGCAAAGCTCTGCCCTAGCCAGGGTGATCTGTCCAGTCTGGGGTTCATAGTCAAGTATTTGCATGTCACAGAACTGAGGCCAAATATCAGAATGCCAGCATATAAGGTGGTTAATGAGAAGCATGCTTGGAAGCAATGTCCTTCCTTGGACTTCTCTGGCAGGCCAAGGACAGATAGGCAGTATTGACACAGGATAGCCTAGGGTTTTTGCAAAGCTGACTGGGAAAACCACGGACAGTTTTCATTTAAATAATAAGATTAAAAATAATAATAATAAGATTGTGCTGGGCACAGTGGCTCACACCTGTAATCCCAGCACTTTGGGAGGTGGAGGCAAGAGGATTGCCTGAGTGCAGGAGTTCAAGACCAGCTTGGGCAATTTGGCGAGACCTCGTTTCTACAATAAATCAAAAAATTACCTGGGTGTGGTGGTGCATGCCTATGGTTCTAGCTACTTAGAAGGCTGGGTGGAAGGATCACCTGAGCCCAGTAGGCGGAAGCTGCGGTGGCCATGAGTGTGCCGCTGCACTCTAGCCTGGTTGACAGTTAGATTCCTACTCATAATAATAATAATAATAATAATAATATTGAGCTGGGTGCAGTGGCTCATGCCTATAATCCCAATACTCTGGGAGGCAGAGGCTAGAGGATTGCCTGAGCCCAGGGGTT